ATATATACATGTATTCTTCCTTACAAGGGCAATACAGGGAGCCTTTTCTGTTTTTGAAAAAATCTCGTTTGCAAAGCCTCCAAGCTCGCGGCCCATCTTCGGGGCAGGAGCCGGCTTAGGGTTCGACGTGGAGATCATGGGGTTCCCTTACTAAGTTACTAACCCCCCCCCCCCCCTAAACCCTAAATCCTGAACCCTAAACCCTAAACCCTAAACCCTAAACCCTAAACTTAAGGTCATTTAAGGGGGGAAGCTATATAGGGGGGGGGGGGGTAGTATAGGGAACCGCATGAGGAGGAGGGCACCATGGAGGCCCAGCATCTTCTCGCGACAGTGCCGTGGAAACGACTTGAACGAGATTGGTGAAAGAGGGTTGCAGGCATCAAGACCAAGGTTGAGGGTTCAGGGTTCAGGGTTCAGGGTTTAGGGTTTAGGGTTTAGGGTTGAGGGTTGAGGGTTGAGGGTTGAGGCTTGAGGGTGGCGGCTTAAAGCTTTAAAGTTCAGGCTCACGACAGCAAAGCGAGAAAGTGCAGGCCTCCACGGCGCCCACTTCTGGGAGTCTTGGAGCCAAACAGCGCCATGAAGTAGGGGTTGGCTTAGGTTTCTGATTTGGGATGTTCCCTCTTATACTAGGTTGCCCAGTAACCTAGGCTTAAAAAGGGTGCCCTTTTTTGCTTAAAGGGGTTTACAAGGGAACCTAAACCCCCCAAAAAGGGAATAAGGGTACTACTGGTCCGAATTGTATCCCCAAAAAATCCCTACTCAGGACTGTGTTGGTGTAAGTTTCTGATTCCCACGACCATCACGACCCTCAGAAGAGTGCGTTGAACAGTTGGCTGCTCACTTCGGAGACGATCGCCCATGTCAGTCTTTCCGGCCTCAGAACGAACTTCACACGCACGCACGAGAAAACACACACACACACACACACCCACGCACACGCACACGCACACACGCACACGCGCACGCGCACGTGCACGCGCACGTGCACGCACACGCACGTGCACGCGCACGTGCACGTGCACGCACACGCACACGCACACGCACACGCACACGCACACGCACACGCACACGCACACGCACACGCACACGCCCACGCACACCACACAAAAAAAAAAAAAAAACACACACACACACACAAACACAAACACACACACACACACAAACACAAACACAAACACACAAACACACAAACACACAAACACACAAACATACAAACACACAAACACACAAACACACAAACACACAAACACACAAACACACAAACACACAAACATACAAACATACAAACACACACACACACTATAACACTAACACTAACGCTAACGCTAACACTAACACTAGCACTAGCACTAGCACTAACACTAACACTAACACTAACACTAACACACACACACAAACAAACAAACAAACAAACACACACACACACACAAACGCAAACACAAACACAAACACAAAACAAACACAGACACAAACACTGACACTGACACTGACACAGACGCAGACACAGACACGCACACACACACACACAGACCACAAAAATAAAGGACACTAACAAACACACACACACACACACACACACACACACACGGAGACACACAGAGAGACACACAGAGAGACACACAGAGAGACACACGGAGAGACACAGAGCCAGAGACAGAGAGGCTGCATTATTCCTGTTCCTGTGCAGTTTTGAGGGCAGTGGAAGGCGAAGTAGTAGCATATCAAGACTATCAATACTATGAATACTGTGAATACTGCTGATACTGTTGATACTGCTGACACTGTTGATACTGCTGATATTCCTAAACCTACTAATACGATTAATACGATTAATACGATTAATACGATTAATACGATTCATACGATTCATACGATTCATACGACTAAGGCCATGAATACTGCTAATACTAGTCATACTACAAATACTACTAATACTATTACTATTGTGAAGAGAAACATATGTCATGCTATTAGTACGAATGATATCAGATAATATCAGTCTGATTAATATGGTTAATTGTCTGGGCATTGTTCATTTGTCAAGATTCTTGATATTAAATATTCATATTCTGTATATGATGAGGATCACACATAACAGTATTATGTTAATATTGTTAGTGAATATTACCAAAAAAAGTATTCATATCCTGTGTATGATTAACATTGCTAATATTTTAAAAACTAATGATATTTTGAACGATGTTAATAAAACTCATCTTACTCATATTATTCGTCTTATTCATATGATTCATATTCTTCCTATTATTCATTATTCCTATTATCATAAGTAATCATAATTGCTCGCATTATGAAGATCATTCATATAATTAAAATATTAGTAATAGTATTGATATTCCTAATATCATTATAATAATTGCTCATATTAACATGGTTTTAAAAATCTCATGAAGATTTTAATTTTATGAACATGATTAATTGTTGGTATTACTACTATTATAAATAATATCAATACAAGGAAAACGAATTTCATTCATGTCGAGCGGGGCGGGTTGAGGGCACAACACATCAAGAGCTTAACATCTTTTGAAAGGCTTATCCTGCTGCTAAGGTTTTGGACAGCATCCAGCATATCCAAGGACGACATCCCAAACCATGTAGCCGCCAGCCCCAAACCATCCAACGACTTCCACAGCGCAAAAGGCCTTGCCTTCACTCTCCCGCCCACCCCCGCGAACCCAAACCCGAAGCCCTGAGCGCTAAACCCTTTTGAAACAGGCCCGAAACCACCCTAAACGGTAAACCCTAGACACCCAAAAAAACCCTAAAAACCCTGAAAACCTTACAAGAAAAAGCCTCTAAACCGTAAACCCTCAACCCTAAGCTTCAAAGCCGTGCGGCCCTGGAGCGCAGCTAATCCGAATCGTCGTCACCTCGGGCCCCGAGAGTTGAAGGCTTTGGGTTGGGATGTTCCCCCTTGGAATAACATAGAGTCTGGGGTTTAGGGTTTAGGGTTTAGGGTTTAGGGTTTAGGGTTTAGAGTAACAGCAATTAATAGGGACTATAGTACCCCGATTTTTAATTGCTATTAAGGAGCTGTAAATATAAGGGGGAACATCCAAGCTTTGGGTTTCGGAGATTCGTATGTGACTTCGCGGCTGGGGTTTGGGGGCCCTACACCCCGACTCCATGATTATTAGGGTTTAGGGTTTAGGGTTCAGGGTTCAGGGTTTAGGGTTTAGGGTTTAGGGTTTAGGGTTTAGGGTTTAGGGTTTAGGGTTTAGGGTTTAGGGTTTAGGGTTTAGGGTTTAGGGTTTAGGGTTTAAACCAGTAGTCTCGGTACCCGGTTCCGACGGCATGTTGTAGGGACTTGTGCTTACGAGAGTTCAAGGACTCAATCTGGATCCAGCGGTGAAACGCCGAACTTTTTTTGGAGAGGGAAGCAAAAGCGTACTTGAAGACTCCTGGGTAGCAGAAGGTGGGGCCAAAAAGTATCCCAAAGAAAGGTCACCAGCAATTACAACTGCAGTTGCCCTACTTGCAGCCCCAGTTATCACCCATCAAACTCCAAGTAGCGTTGATGTCACTCAGGGGTTTCAGACCATAAGGTTGCAGGCTTTTCTTGAGGTCTGGGGCGTGTGCGCAAATTGGGGCTTGGGGGTCTTGGTCTCGGGGGTCTTGGGGTCTTGGGGTTTTGGGGTTTTGGGGTTGATTTTCACCTCCGGCCTAGCCGAACTGGAGGGTTTAGGGCCTAGGGTTGGCAAACCCTAAACCCCAAACCCTAAACCCCAAACCCCAAACCCTAAACCCCAAACCCTAAACCCTAAACCCTAAACCCTAAAACCCTAAACCCTAAACCCTAAACCCTAAACCGAGGCGCATACGCTCGGCTCGCTGTGGTAGTAGCTTTCGGCGTCCTCGTCCCGGTCCCACTCCCCGACTCCTTCTGCCCAGGGCTCGTACTCCTCGGCCGGTGGCTTGAAGCTCCAGGCCTGGCTAGGGGTTCGCAAGAGGGTTTAGGGTTTAGGGTTTAGGGTTTAGGGTTTAGGGTTTAGGGTTTAGGGTTTAGGGTTTAGGCTTTAGGGTTTAGGGTTTAGGGTTTAGGGTTTAGGGTTTAGGGTTGGGTAGTTTCATGGGCCCTTAATATGGTCCCTAACCTCCTTTAAACGGTTCTAATGTATGGGCCCTTGATTTGTATAGGGTATATATGGGGTCGCCTTTTAAGGGCCCATATTAAGGCGTCATGCAACTACCCGTAGAAATAATAAGAATATGAAACATCTATGAAAATATATTCAATGCTAATAAAGATCGGAATATGAAGAATATGAGGAGCCTGAGAACGGCTGCAAGTTTGGACAGGTCGGGTGCAACTGAGATGCTAGGGTCTCTTGAGGGCCGCACGCAATTCTGCTTCTCTTGGGAATTTCGGGTTTGCCGAAGGGGGGGGGAAAGGGCAGGGGAAAAGATTGCCACTGCTATAAGCTTGTTGCTAATGCAGCTGACCATGTTATGAATATCAGTCATATTCATAATCTTAGTAACCTGAACAATCTTAATGACACGAAGAACATTCATGATGGCAGTGCCCATGTAGATTCCTCCTCCTCGGCCTTAAATGAAGCTGAGGCTTTCAAGTCTATCCTGGGCCTTTTGTGGTAAACCCTAAACCCTAAACCCTAAACCCTCCGGCCCCCAAGTCGCTTGACCCAGGCCTCGCGGCCGAAGCGCAGACGGAACAAGCCCCCCTTGGTGGTGACCGCAGGGAACCTGAGCAGTTTGGGGCTTAGGGCAGCATGAACCCTAAACCCTAAGCCCTATATAAACCCTCTCTTGTTTTTGAGGAGAAGCCCAAAACCTAAAAACGCAAAACCTTGAAGCATGGGACACGCCAGCACCCAAGTCTAATGTGCAGGGCCCAGAGAGTCCCAGGGGTTCGCCTGAACCAAAAGCAGGCGGGCCCCAACCAGATCAAGCTCCCCCCAAACTTAAACCCAAAGAGCTCTGAGGAGCCTAAAAACCAAGAGTTGCACAGCCCTCTATCGATTCTCTCTTTTTCCCTCTCCGTCCGAAGCTTGCAAAAAACATTTCCTGATCCCGCAACCCAAATCCCCTCCAAGCATTTTTAAGCTCGCAAAATTGCACCTCGCAAATTGGCCACTGTTTACGAGGCACAAATCCCGACCATTTGGCTCGAAGTCCATGAAGTAGTCGGCCTCAGATGTATGATACGGGTTTAGGGTTTAGGGTTTAGGGTCCAGGGTCTAGGGCTTAGGGTTCAGGGTTTAGGGTCCCAACCTGCCAAACGCCCACCAGCCCTCCACACACACTCTCCCCCCCCCCCCCCAGCACCCCGCTTTGCACCCCTGTGATGCCAAGAACGCTACGGAAACATTTCTTGGGTCTAGGGTTTAGGGTTTGGGGTTTGGGGTTTAGGGTTTAGGGTTTAGACCAGGTGCTTCCTTCTCTGGGTACCAGGTGCCCTGGTGGGAGAGATGCATCTTGCCGCCGTTGTAGTCCAGCGCAAAGCCCAGCACGTCGCCTGGTTCCCACGGCCTCATCTGCACCTGCAACCGTTTAGGGCTCAGGGCAGCCTCTCCCAAAAGAAACACCCCAAACCCTAAACCCTAAACCCTAAACCCTAAACCCTAAACCCTTGCTATGTAAAGGTCTCAAAGGCAAAAGAGCCCATCACCGGCCTGCTCTGCCTTGCCCGCGTGGCTCTTCTCCATGATCCCACTGAGCCAACCTTCCCAGCACCTTAGCTGTCCAGTGCCTAACCCTAAACCCTAAACCCTAAACCCTAAACCCTAAACCCTAAACCCTAAACCCTAAACCCTAGGGGTCTTAAAGGTTAACCTTTGGGATTCGAAGGGGAATCTACTAACCCAAAAAGGTTGAAGGTTACCTACTCACTCTACTACTAACTAAGGGGAATCTACTAACCCAAAAAGGTTAAAGGTTACCTACTCTACTACTAACTAAGGGGAATCTACTAACCCAAAAAAGGCTAAAGGCTTCCTACTCTACTACTAAGGCACCAGCCCTCCCGGTGCCGGCCCAGATCCCGATCTCCTTCGAAGGCGGAGGTGGCCCAGCCGGCCTGTATCCACTCGAAACCTTGGGGTTATGAATCAAACTCTTATAGCTGCCTTACTAAGAAACCCAATTTAAACCCTAAAAAAGGCTTTGAGGATCTGAAGTGTTACAGTAGAGCACCACAACAAGAAACGGGTCAGGAGCTGCATCTCGTGGTAGTACTTCCCGGTGCCTCGGCCAGCTTTCTCCTTCAGCCTCGCGGTCACCGGCTTCTTGAAGTCGGTCTCCTCACCGAACTTCCCGAGCCTGAGCCTTAGTTGCCCAGTAACCTGGGGGGAATTCAAGGTGAACCTTTGGGGTGATAAGGGGATCATACTACCCCCAAAAAGGTGAAAGGTTACCTACTCTACTACTAGGGAGCAGATTCCGGCTGAGCTTGTGGCTCTGCGAGCTTGCGCCCACCTGCTCTTCAAGCAGGCTGACCAGATCCCGATGGCCCGGCTGGGTCAGCTTGCAGGCTACGTGAAAGGCGCGCTGCATATCCAGTTTTTTTATCTTTGACCCAGAGCCGGCTTGTAGCAGCCACTCCACCGCATTCTTCTGCCCAGCCCTGGCAGCAGCCACAAGAGCCAAGTCCCCATTGTGGCTCCGCTTGCCTAGGTCGCAGCCGGCAGTCTGCAGCAGCTGCAGCGCCTCGGTGTTGCCGGCGCGGGCCGCGAAGAAGGTGGGCAGCTCGCCCTCGCTGGTTGCCGCTGTGAAATCCTGGCGCGACGGGCCAGGAAGCAAAAGAAAACGGGAAGCCCAGGCACCAAGGGAAAGTAAGCAAAGCAGTTCCTGAACTTTAAACCCTTTTGCACTAAAGCCCTAAAACCCTAAAACCCTAAAACCATAAAACCCCAAAACCCTAAAACCTAAACCCCTAAACCCTTTAAGCCCAGAAGCGCAACCAGCAGTCTGCAGCACCTTCAGGGTTGCGACGACAGCTTTGGCCTCTCGAGGTGATAAACGACACCACTCCGACAACTTCGTGGTGCTGTCCGCATTGCAGTGGACTTACCAGGGCATAGAGGTTTAGGGTTTAGGGTTTAGGGTTTAGGGTTAGGGTAGTGTTTTTTCCAGCCGTGCTGTGAACGTTGAAGAACAACGTACAGCTGGAGGGCTAACAAGGAGAGTGCTGGTGGCAACAAGCCATTCGAACACATGCACCAGACGCACGGAACATCTCGGAACTAGACGCTTCAAGCTCACGCGAAAGCATGCGAACCCCGCGGAATGCACATCGGAAGCGCACCACGAAACCAGGCGAAACAGCAGAAACGTGTCGTACCTTTCGGGCTCCCGACGCCCTTCTTGCGGCAGCTTCTGAGAGCTCCTTTTAAACTCTCAACCCTACTTGAAGATTCCTGGGTAGCTTAAGTAAGGTAACAAGTACTCTTAAACAGGGTACAACTCTAGTTACCCTACTTCTAAGATTAGTTACAAGTATACGTACCCTTCAGAGGGTTATAAACATAGTTATAGCTACCCTACTTACAAGAACGAAGCTCCAAGCAGCACGAGCCCGTGCCATAGGTCGCCAGGAGCCAGGAGCGAGGACATTCCGACTCGTGGTTTACTGCTTTTTGCTTAAGAACCCTCTCCACAAAAATGAAAAATATCTTCCTTGTAAGGGCAATATAGGGATTATAAATCATTGGATATCTTCGGGAAACTGTTTGTAGGTAGGAAGGTAGCTGGTAACGGCTTTGCTGTGTTTCTTCGGAAAAAGGAAAATCTTTGCTTGTTGAGGAGTTCACCCTAAACCCTAAACCCTAAACCCTGAACCCTAAACCCTAAACCCTTAGTAGCTGTAAGGGGATCGCGGAGCCCTTGGGTGCCCCTCAGCTTCCCAAGAGGCCGCCGCTGGCTGAGGCTACGCAAGACCGAAGCTGAAACCCTCAACCCTAATCCCAAACACCCTAAACCCTAAACCCTAAACCCTAAGCCCTACACCCTGAATACGGGCTCTGCAGGAGCACGTTTGCTGGCTGAGGAGCTTGAGACCCACTCTGACACATCCCGAACGCGGCATTAGAGCTCCTGATAGCTCCGTGACAAGCCAGCGTGCAAGCAGGGCTAAACGAAGGCTAAACAACAGAAGCCTTGGCAACCATAGCATAGTTCTTCCCCATACGAGATGCAAAACGAACAGCACAGGCCGTCGCACCCCGAAGTCTCAGTAACCCTAAGCCCTCTCAGTAACCCTAAGCCCTAAACCTACAGAGCACTGTTCTGCTTTCCCGTCGCCTCAGGACCCGAAGCATCACCACAACGCTGCAGCAAAGATTGAACGTCCTCCCGGCGAACTTTCGGAGGGTTTAGAGCCCGGAGTTGAAGATCAGGGTTTAGGGTTTAGGGTTTAGGGTTTAGGGTTGAGGGTTGAGGGTTTAGGGTTGAGGGTTGAGGGTTGAGGGTTGAGGGTTTAGGCCAGCAATGGCGGAACAGTACTGCTACCCCCGGATGTGCGCATTTTGAAAGGAACACTCTCACGTTCTAGTGACAGTCAGGTAACTGTTGCATGCAGTGCCTTGCAGGCGTGCCCCTCGTTCACCTGCGATTTGACCACAAACTTCTTGCAGCATTTCAGCTAGGAATAACCTCCATACTTCACCCACCGTGGTGTTCCAGCCATTGCGTATGCATGTCAGCATGGCAGCTCATGGTCACGAATACTTCAGTCCTCCACCTGCACAGCCTGCGCTGCAGCGCCATGCCGCACCAGCAAATCCACGGCTTCGTGAGAGCCAAGCCGCGAAGCAAGCACCAGGGGCGTGCGCCCGTAGTCGTCACGTGCGTTGCTGTCTGCGCCGAACTGCAGCAGCAACCGGCAAATCTCCAGGTGCGACTCCGTGAAGTCAGTGATCGGTGACAAGGCTTTGTGGAGTGGCCGCTCCTAAGTCCATGACATGGGTGATGCTGGGCTATGTTGCACGGCATGTGGGTTCAGAGCAGGCGCACACTGGTAAGGGGCCGGCTCTGATTTCGTTGGGCGAATTGGGATCCGCGTAGTGCTTGAGCAGCTCACGCACTGATTGCACATCACCATCTCGGCAATGCCTTGGCAAGCCCGAGTCCCCCGAAAACATTCATAGAATAACACTCAGACATACTCACATTGGCATCGTATCAAACATCCTGCTGAGAGGTACTTGCCTTACGATGAACTGAGTAAGCATCACACTCCGAAAAACCTTCCACGAGACCAAAGAGAGCAAAACCATACAAACCATTAGGCACCTGGCTACTCTGCACTTTTCAGTGCTTCAGGTTTCAAGTCGGACGACAAAGGCCATGATCATAGTTGCGGAGTTCATAAGCCCCCAAAAGTGTACACTTTCAGTTCTATAGGGGATTGTAGTACCCCAAAAAGTGTAAGGTGCACTCACTCAGTTAGTACATGATGCTGCCAGGTTGCCCTAGCAGTTGGCTGCTCGGTTTCAGCTTATCCTGCACCACCTTCTTCAGATTGTCTTGGACATCCTGCAGGTGGCTGATTCCAGCGACCTGGCTTAGGGTTTATGGAGCTTAGGGTTCAGGGTTCAGGGTTTAGGGTTCAGGGCTCAGGGTTCAGGGTTCAGGGTTTAGGGTTTAGGATTTAGGGTCTCTGGGAGAGGGCGCGCCTCGTCTCCCACCTCACCACCCCCGACCACGTAGTTGCTCGTTGTCAGCATCCCCGAGACCCTTTGTTTTGAACCCAGACTCATTCCCCTAAACCCTAAACCCCTGAACTCCTAAACTCCTAAAGCCGAAACTCCTGAACTCCTAAATTCCTAAACCCTAAACTCCCGAACTCCTGAACTCCTAAACTCCTGAACTCCTAAACTCCGAAACCCTAAACCCTACCATGCCACAGCTTCGTTGAAAGTCAAAAAGATCCCTCGCACCTGCGACAGGGTGCAGACCGCCCGCCCAATGAACTCACTGTCGGGCTGGCTCCTCAGCTGCAAGAGGCCTCGGCAAC